GTGTGTGTGTGTGTAGTTTTGTTTTGTTTCAGATGGGGTCATACTCTGCTGTCCAGTCTCTCTCTCTCTCTCTGTGTGTGTGTGTGTGTGTGTGTGTGTGTGTGTGTGTAGTTTTGTTGTGTTTCAGATGGGGTCATACTCTTTTACCACCTGAGCAGCTGGGACTACAGGCACATGGCACACTTCTTTATGTATTTTTTAAAACAGCAAAAGGTAGAATTTTCCAGAACACATTCTAGCTCTAAGGCTACAATACCTGAGCATTTTTTATGGTATCAAGTACATTTAACACCACCAATTAGATTAGTACTCAGAGCACATTACTCGTAAAACAGTATTCATACTCCACAGAATTTTCAAACATCTCAAAATTACTGCTTTTAAGTCAATCTAAGAGTTTCATGTCTTGGACCTGTGAAATGTTGATTTATATAAATCATAACCTCCTAAGTAAATGAACAAAGGTACATCATCCCCTTAAATTCAGTGAGCCCTAGAGAGGCGTAGTGGTGCACACCTATAATCCCAGCACTTGGGAGGCTGAGGCAGGAGGATTACCATGAGTTCAAGACCAGTCTGGACCACATAGTGAGTTCAAGACCAGTCTGAACTACATAGCTAGACCCTGTCTCAAAAAAATACTCCAAAAACCAAAACACACACACAAAAAAACAAATAAATTCAATGAGCCGACATCAAATCATCTCTCACTAATTTCAAGGATTTAGTTAACCTACTTACCTTCAGATCTCTGTGTACAATCCCCATGTTATGTATGTAAAAAACACCTTCTACCAATTCTTGAAAAATTTTTGTTGCAACACTGGCTATAACATAAGGACCTGGAAGGGGGAAGAAGGAAAAATACATAGTTTTGTTTCTCAATTTTTATGAATTGCATTAAATAAATGTTAACTTGGTTCTAAAATCATTAACACCTTACGGTTAGTACAGTACACCTATCAAAAAGAGCACACCAATGTTAATAATAATAAGTTCAGAGTGTATTCAGATTTCCTCCACTTTTACCAGTTTCCTTTTCCTGTTCAAGGGCCCCATTCAGGATATACCTACCACACAACACTGAGTGCCCATGTCTCTCTAGATCCCTCTGGGCTGTGACAATATCGTAGGTGTCCTTGTTTGAATAATCTTGACAGTTATGAGAAGTGTAGGTCAGGGATTTTTATGGAATGTCTCTCACACAGATTTGTGCCCACAGGGACTGGATGTTTTTCCAACTAACCACACTGGGATTATGCTTTGGGTGAGGAAATCCACAGATATAAACTGTAATTTTCATGAGATCACATCAGCATATATCAATATGGATGATGACTACAATTTCTGGCTAAGGCCATGTTTGTCAGGGTCCTCCACTGTTGTTTGTGGAAGAACAAAAAGGTGTGCACTACTGCCCATGGGTTTCCACTGTTTTTTAGTAGGTTTTCTGTCTTTCTGTCTTTTTGAGACAGAGTTTCCCAACGTAGTTCAGGCTGGCCATGAACTCCCTTTGTATCCCAGGCTGGCCTTGAACCTGCCAGCCTCCCGAGTGCTTGGGTTCTAGGTATGCACCACCACACCTGGCTTTGTTTTTGTTTTTTTCCCATGTTTTTCGTGGTTCACTTTGTAGTTCAGGCTGGCCTTACACTATATATTCCAGTGTTTAATGATTCTTAGTTTTGTGCTCTATTTCCTCCTTCAAACTCAGAAACTGTAGCCAGCAGTGAGAACATGGCCTCAAACACAGCAATCCTGTCTCAGCCTCCTGAGTGCTGGGATTATATGTATGTGCCGCCATGCTTAGCCTTCACTGTCATCTTTTTATTTCTTTTACTGCTTGAATCCACTTATTTAAAGTGATTTAGCACATTTATTTAAAGTACAAAAACATTAAAAACTAATGTCAGAATAGTGCTTACTTTTGTAGAGGGGTTTGAGGGAAGAAAGGGCATGAAGATTTCTGAACTGCTTCTTTAGAGTAGGTAACTAGACATGCCACTGTAAAACCTGACAGTGACACCGCATGCTACCATCAGCCACAACGTACAGATGACCTAGCCTCCTATCTGCCTTTCAGAATCCATGAAAGGAGGTAGAACACGTATTTAGCCAGAATTCAGGCTGCAAGAGTCCAGAATATCTACAGTTCATGCCGTCTTTTTAGTTTTCCCAGGTGACAGGCAAGGATCAGTACTGCTCACAATAATGGATTCTGTACCTCTCCATGCGTGAACTGAAGTTTGAGTACAATCTTTGCTTTAAGGGGCTCTGGGTTTTTAATGTTTAATGATTCTTAGTTTTGTGCTCTACTTCCTCCTTCAAACTCAAAAACTGTAGCCAGCAGTGGGCACATGGAAAGTCTCCCCTCTTGCTCCACTGCCTCCAAAAATGACTCATGTATGGATTTGCAGTTTTGAAAATTTTAAGGCA